GATAAAATGAGGGAGGTGCGACACACAGAGGGGGGGGGGGGGGGGGGAGGAATCACAGGAGCGGAATCAGTGGGTCGGAGAAGGCCTTTTCACAGACCATGTCACTTTGCCTTTTCAGGGTGAAACGACAGTGTCTCTATTACTTTCTATAACACGAACCCAGAACAAGTATGCAGAACAGGAAAATCAGAACCGATAATCTGCATGCTTCTTCTGAGTCAGTAATTTAGAAAGTACCTAAACCGATGGATTAGTATGACAGCCAGGGAATAAGTATTTTCAGAAGGAGAGAAGGTTAACAATTGCAGCCATAAAACTTACCCCGTACAGGTTTCATTTTAAAGTGGAAGTAAACCACTTTGTAGATTTTCTGTTTTTCCCCTAATGTGCAAGTTTGCACTGCATACTCACAAATTAGGGCACACGTATCTGACATGTGTGTCCTTTTCCAGTGCTGTTGGACCAATTTTCGTCCCTCAGCTTTGTCCTCCACTGCCTCCACTTTGATGACCTCGGATATCCTTTTTGGTTATTGGGTGGTCACGGATGATGCAACTCCAGTGCATGCACACAGGGGTTACATCCTCCCTGGCACCTGCCCCTTCATGGCATCTTAGACATATAATGAACGGGCTGAGTATGCACACTGCACTGTGCATGCGCCATACAGGTCTACACAGAGAGAAGATTTTTTATATATTTTTTGCATATCTCTTTTGACAAAAATCTTTACCTTCCAGCAATTTTTTATTTTATCACCTTTACTTCAGCTTGAACACACTTCAAGACAAATAGTTATTTTAAAGAGAAACTGCCATCTACTTAATGTAACTTTTACATGTGACCTATCTTTTTTCGTCAAGCAGCATATAATGCTGAACGCCTGCTCTCTAACGGTCAAGTCATAATGTATTCTATGAGCAGGAAAGTTTTTGTTCTTAGACTAACAAATTTCAATGAACCTTTAAAACCAAGCAGCCTTTCAGAGGTCCAAGTAAATTGCACTCAGTCATTGTACTGTGTGTCCTAAACAAAATTTCGGCATGAAGTAAGCAAATGAGAGCCCCTAATTACCAGTATAATTAAAAGCTTGAATGGAAGAAGTGTGTACTGGAGAGGGACAGGTGTTAATATCCTTTTCATAATGTGAATAGGTTCCTACAGGCATCCTACCAAATGGAGAAAAAGGATGAATGATTCCCTTTACAATACTGTACCTTCCTCTGTCATTGATTGCAAATATAAGGAGGAATCCTTCTCCCGTCCTCATGTATTGCTCTCTCATTGCTCCAAACTCCTCTTGTCCGGCTGTGTCCAGAACTAGAGAGAATTAAAATATACACACTTTGAATAGGAAATGATACACAGAATAAAAAAATAAAAATTATATATATATTTAAAATAATAATAAATAAATATGTTCAGCAATTACACATTTTGTACATGGGCAGCATATGGTCAGTTGTGAAACAATTTACTACATTTAACTTTTTTCCTCACTTATCTGGCTACACTTATTACCTTGTTAGGAAATTTACCTCAGACTTAATGTTGTAATCCCCTATATTAGAAATGGTTATGGTTAACTCTGTTACCACAAATTTCTCAGATCCTGGTGCTACTAGGTGGAAGCCAAAATGATAATACTCTACAGACATTCCTACAAGTGTAGTTTCTTTTCAGATAGCCGCTGTCAGCTAAACTGTGCATGCCAGGCAATTGAAATCAGGTTAGTGGGATTCCACTAGCCATTTGATTCTGTGCACAGCAACCCAGAATCTACACAAGTGTTGACCACATATGGCCACTGTACTGTATGAGCCACAAGGGTGCATCTCTAGGCCATATGATACACAATGAGCTTCCATTTTCACCAGTGTAAGTTGGTCAGTTGCTGCCCAAGCAGCAGCTGAAACTCAATTTACTAGATTGTAAACTCTCATGAGCAAGGCCCTCCTAACCCTCCTGTATTGAAATTGTGTTAACTGTATTGTCTTGCTCCATTTTGTAAAGCGCTGCGCAAACTGTTGGTGCTATATACAGGTGAAACTCAAATAATTAGAATATCGTGCAAAAGTAATTGCAGTAAGTGCTGCAAAAGGGGCCCAAACCAAGTACTGAGTACATATGCATGCTTGTACTTTTCAGAGGTCCGATATTGTTCTATGTACAATCCTTGTTTTATTGATTGCATGTAATATTCTACTTTTTTGAGGTTGTGGATTTGGGGTTCTTGGGGTTTTCATGAGCTGTAAGCCATAATCATCACAATGATGACAAATCACGGCTTGAACTATCTTGCTTTGCATGTAATGAGTCTATCTCATATATTAGTTTCACCTTTTAAGTTGCATTAGTGAAATAAATGAACTTTGCACGATATTCTAATTATTCGAGTTTCACTTGTAAATCCTGAATAATAATAATAAATAATAACTAGCGAGGGAGGAGCAATTAACCACGAGATCACTGGTACAGACAGCAAGGGAGCGATTCCGTAGGATAACAGAGAATCTGTAGCTGTACCCATGCAGAACAAACTGAAAGGATAATTCTAACCCACCCCATAACACGGTTAATATTCCCCTTCACTGTGCTCCCCCAGTGTTCCATGCCTCCATAGCAGCCATCTACCAAGTATGGAGCAGCATGTGACCTCCTCCCAGGATGAAGTGACTGCCAGATATAAACTTGGTCAACCAGCATATAGATAGGATGTCATCATCAACCCTGTGTTAAGCTTCAACACTATAACACAGATTACACAGGGTTAAGACTGCAGTGCATCAGAGTATCAAGAGAGTAGAGGAGTACAAATGGGGAAGGGAGTTGGCTTTAAAGAGACTGTCACTTTGTGACAGTAGCAGTGTAGAGAAGTTGCATTTTTATAGTACACTTAATATTGAGTTGCCCACAGCATCAGTGTCATGAATCGGACATGGACCTTTATGAGGTTGACACTAAAGAGAACAGCAACAAACACTTTTGGAAAGTAATCAGTATACACCTCCAAAACAGACCTACATAACCAACACTGAGGGCCCATTCACACCACATCCAGATAATCTCCAGTTTAGATCGATTCCAGACCCAAAATGCATCCTAATGTATCCCTATGCTATTTCTGGCGTCTGTGCACACCAACGTAGTCCGTTTCAGACCAGACCAGAAAAATACTGCATGTCTCATTTTGTCTGGTCTGGAATGCACTGGAACTGTGGGCAGGTTCAACCCATTTTCCGGACCAGATCTGGTACAGAAAGTGGTGTGATGCTGCCCTGAAGGAAAATGACTTTACATCCAAAAGTACAGCGGGTGGCCAGTCTGCCCTGGCCAAAAGCACATTCTCTATCAGTTTTGAAAGATAGACTCCCACAAGATCTACTTTATAGGATCATTCAGAACTAGATCTGTAAAGGTTTTATCGCCCGTGATTTGTACAACAAAGTTTACAGGCCCCTTATGAGCGAGTGGGGTTTTGAAACGCTTGGTTTTAATTAAGTTCATTTAAATTGAAGTTAAGTAAAGACATGTGCACCACAATCAACCATCTGTAGAGACATACATGACATGAAAATAAACAAAGAGAAGAGTGTAACATAATCTACCAAGTCATTGTCAGCATTGGGGTCAAATGTAACAGGGCCAAAATTCCAAAATTACAACTTGCTTTACTCAAAAGTCGTATGCGAAACATTTGTTCAAATTGCACTATTTCAAAAGCTTTTGTGAATGAAGATGATTCTGTTAGGCAATTGCAGATGTGTGTTTGTGTGTGTGTAAGTCACAAGACTGGCTGTACGGAATTACAGATCCTTTGGCAGGTAAAAGGATAATGACATATGCAGTTAAAGCATGACATAAGCGGTTTGCCTGGATTTCACTCTAACCTGTGATTATATGTACTTTTAATTACTTTGCACACCTCCTGGACCGATCACCACAATCCCTCGGTCCACCTTCCACACTGATGGCTCTGCCATCACACAGCATTCCCACATAATGAATCACACATACACATTACAGTATTGTTTTATGTTAAAATATCTGAGGGTTTAATGTCACTTTAACTAACATAATATTTAAAATACATGTATTCAGTATACCAACACTCAAACCCTTTCAATAAACACCAACAGGTGTTTTTTTTATTAAATCTTCCTCACTGGTGTCCCTTCTATTCCGGTACAAAAAGGAAGACTTCACCAGCACTCCAACAACGATAATAACAGCAATTAGATGCTCATTTATTGACAGATGCTGTCTCTCATTGAGCATTGGCCATCACGACAGCATGTCTTTTTGCCTTACCCACACATGCAGTGTGTTTTGACCTGGAACTACCTGAGCACTTGACGTCTAATTACAAGTGTGTTCTGAGATGTGTAAAGCATAGCATGATGTATTGTATTTTGCTGTTGGATCACAGATCATGTGGGGCACTTTCAATACTGTTTAGCACACACTTCTAATTGGTAAAGGGTGGGGCTCTGATGTCATGATGACGTCTATGGGTATGAGTGTGTCATGTCTTTCACTCACTGATAGGTATGTCTATATAAATTAATATATGTTATCTCTGCACTGTCATCTCTGAGCCTGACGAAGGGGACCCTGTGTGGCCCCGAAAGCGCTTGCTAATGAGAGACAGCTTCTGTCAATAAATGAGCATCTAATTGCTGTTATTATCGTTGTTGGAGTGCTGGTGACGTCTTCCTCTTTGTCTATGTGTGGCGGTGCCATCCACAGTCATTTCGAGCACCCGTCTTTTTGTGGGGAGTCCCGGTAAGGAGTGTGGCAAGTTTTCTTTTTTCTTATTCTATTCCGGTACAACGCAAATCCCATTTGTCCTGTGCAAGGCTGCAGGACACCAGCAGACAGGGCCGGATTTCCCACGGCCTTGGGGCAGCAGGGAGTAGAGGGGCAGCAGGGGTGTGGAATTCCTATCTCCCGATGCCTGGGACATGCAGTTCCGGTTGTTTTCTACATTTAGCCCTTCGGGCAGGCAGAGCTAAATGTACAGCAGGGAAGCCGCCGCTTGCTTTGTACAAGTGATCCCGGTGAGATCAATCACTTGTATGGAGCCTGCAGGTCTGCCATTCTCCATGGGGGGGGGGGGGGGGT